CCGCCCCGCCCCGCCCCCCGGGCCCGCCCCGCCCCCCGGGCGCTGCCTGCCGGCTGTGGCACCTGCGGCCCCGCGCCGTCCCACAGGTGTCACGCAGCGTCCCCGGCGTCCCACGGTGTCTCCTGGCATCCCACGGGGTCCCACCGTGCCCCACGGGGTCCCACCGTGCCCACTGGTGTCACGCAGCCTCCCCTGGCACCCCACGGGGTCCCAAAGTGTCCCCAAATGTCCCATGCTGTCCCCTGCCGTCCCACCGTGTCCACTGGTGTCCCTTGGGACCCCACGAGGTCCCAAAGTGCCCCACGGTGTCCCAGGGGGGTCTCACCGTGTCCACGGGCGTCCCTTGGGGTCCCGCCGTGTCCCGCGGGGTCCCCAGGGCAGCACCGTGCCCGGCCCGTGGTGCTGAGCCCCGCTGGCCCTGGCCTCTCCCGGGACCCCCGCCCCGGCCTCCCCCTCCCAAACCCACCGGGGACACGGCGCCGCGGGCGGGCACGTGGCCCCAAGCAATGCTGAGGGATGTGCCCGGTAGTCCCAGGGGTGCTGGGAGTACCCAGGGGTGTCCAGGGTTTCCAGGGGTGCCCGGGGGTCTCAGGGAAGCCGAGGGATGTGCCCGGGGTTCCCAGGGGTGCCTGGTGGCCCCAAGCAATGCTGAGGGATGTGCCCGGTAGTCCCAGGGGTGCTGGGAGTACCCAGGGGTGTCCAGGGTTTCCAGGGGTGCCCGGGGGTCTCAGGGAAGCCGAGGGATGTGCCCGGGGTTCCCAGGGGTGCCTGGTGGCCCCAAGCAATGCTGAGGGATGTGCCCGGTAGTCCCAGGGGTGCTGGGAGTACCCAGGGGTGTCCAGGGTTTCCAGGGGTGCCCGGGGGTCTCAGGGAAGCCGAGGGATGTGCCCGGGGTTCCCAGGGGTGCCTGGTGGCCCCAAGCAATGCTGAGGGATGTGCCCGGTAGTCCCAGGGGTGCTGGGAGTACCCAGGGGTGTCCAGGGTTTCCAGGGGTGCCCGGGGGTCTCAGGGAAGCCGAGGGATGTGCCCGGGGTTCCCAGGGGTGCCTGGTGGCCCCAAGCAATGCTGAGGGATGTGCCCGGTAGTCCCAGGGGTGCTGGGAGTACCCAGGGGTGTCCAGGGTTTCCAGGGGTGCCCGGGGGTCTCAGGGAAGCCGAGGGATGTGCCCGGGGTTCCCAGGGGTGCCTGGTGGCCCCAAGCAATGCTGAGGGATGTGCCCGGTAGTCCCAGGGGTGCTGGGAGTACCCAGGGGTGTCCAGGGTTTCCAGGGGTGCCCGGGGGTCTCAGGGAAGCCGAGGGATGTGCCCGGGGTTCCCAGGGGTGCCTGGTGGCCCCAAGCAATGCTGAGGGATGTGCCCGGTAGTCCCAGGGGTGCTGGGAGTACCCAGGGGTGTCCAGGGTTTCCAGGGGTGCCCGGGGGTCTCAGGGAAGCCGAGGGATGTGCCCGGGGTTCCCAGGGGTGCCTGGTGGCCCCAAGCAATGCTGAGGGATGTGCCCGGTAGTCCCAGGGGTGCTGGGAGTACCCAGGGGTGTCCAGGGTTTCCAGGGGTGCCCGGGGGTCTCAGGGAAGCCGAGGGATGTGCCCGGGGTTCCCAGGGGTGCCTGGTGGCCCCAAGCAATGCTGAGGGATGTGCCCGGTAGTCCCAGGGGTGCTGGGAGTACCCAGGGGTGTCCAGGGTTTCCAGGGGTGCCCGGGGGTCTCAGGGAAGCCGAGGGATGTGCCCGGGGTTCCCAGGGGTGCCTGGTGGCCCCAAGCAATGCTGAGGGATGTGCCCGGTAGTCCCAGGGGTGCTGGGAGTACCCAGGGGTGTCCAGGGTTTCCAGGGGTGCCCGGGGGTCTCAGGGAAGCCGAGGGATGTGCCCGGGGTTCCCAGGGGTGCCTGGTGGCCCCAAGCAATGCTGAGGGATGTGCCCGGTAGTCCCAGGGGTGCTGGGAGTACCCAGGGGTGTCCAGGGTTTCCAGGGGTGCCCGGGGGTCTCAGGGAAGCCGAGGGATGTGCCCGGGGTTCCCAGGGGTGCTGAGGGTACCCAGGGGTGTCCAGGGTTCCCAGGTGTGCTGGGGGGTCCCGGGGGTGCCTGGTGGTCTGAAGGGATGCTGAGGGATGTGCCCGGGGTTCCCAGGGGTGCTGAGGGTACCCAGGGGTGCCCAGGGGATGTGCCTGGGGGTCCCAGGGGTGCTGGGGGTACCCAGGGGTGCCCGGGGGGCCCAGGGAAGCTGAGGGATGTGCCCGGGGGTCTCCGAGTACCAGGGACTGCACACGGGGGTCCCTGGGCCCCGGCTCAGGCCCTGCTCCCCGCAGCGCTGCCTGCGGCGCATCCTCCAGGGGCTGCGGCACTACCGGGACCTGCTGGGCTCCGACATCTTCACCGCCCGCCCGCTGCCGCGGCTGGAGACCACGCTGGACCAGCTGCTGGGCCTCGTCCAGGTGAGGGGCTGGGGGGCCCAGGAGGGGGTGGCAGCCCCGGGGGGTGCTGTTCCCCCCATGGCCGGGGAAGCGGGCGCCCATCAGCCACAGCCTCGGGTCCCCTAACCCCGCTCTCCCCGCAGCAGGAGCACGGCCACCTGTCCCGGCACCCCATGGCCCCCAGCGAGGCCTGGGCCCACCCGCTGCTGCAGCGCCTGGCGCTCCAGCGGCTCCAGTCCTTCACCGCCATCATGAGCCGCGTCTTCACCCACAGCGCCAGCCCCCGCTGAGGCCGGCCTGGCCGCGGCCCCCGACTATTTATTCCCCTCCGCCCCAAGGGGCTATTTATGTGCGATGCTCCCTATTTATCTCGGGTATTTATGGGTTTCTAATAAAGGTCTGAAGGAGAGGAGCGGCTCCCCGTGCACGGTGCGACCCGGGTCTGCCTGCTGGCAGCACAGGCAGCGCAGGCAGCACAGGCAGCTGGAGTGGGAAGAGGTTTATTTACACAGGGGGGCTGGGGGGAGTCACTGGAAGTCGCTGGTGTCGATGTGGAGGGGGGGGGAGGCCGCGGGGTGTCAGGCTGCGGCAGGAACGGGTCGCGGGCGTCCAGGAGCGCGGCGCTGCCTGCGGGACGGGGAAAGGTCAGTGCTGAGGGGACCCCCTTGTCTCCCCGCCAGCCCCGGCACTCACCCGCTTGCCTGGGGCCCAGCCCCTCCAGCTCCCCGTCCATGGCCTCCAGCATGCTGGGCATCAGCTCCGACACCTCCAGCGTCTCCAGCGTCCCCGAGCCCGGCTCCAGCCCCTCCACCAGCGACTGCAGGATCTCCTGCACGTCCGGGCTCCCAGGCAGCAGCTCCAGGTCCCTCAGCTCCGGTGGCAGCATCCCTGTGTCCCCAGCTCCCACTTGCTGCAGCACCCCTGCATCCCCAGCCACCGGCTGCAGCGTCTCCAGCCCCCCAGGCAGCACCTGCAGTGTCCCCAAGCCCCCTGGTCCCACCTGCAGCGTCCCCTGGCCCTCGGGGACCAGCTGCAGCACCAGCTGCTGCTCCACGGCCCCAAGTCCCACTTGCTGTGTCCCCTGGTCCTCGGGTCCCACGTGCTCCAGCACCCCCAGCCCCCCGGGCAGCACCTGCACCGTCCCCACAGCCCCTGGTCCCACCTGCAGCGTCCCCTGGCCCTCGGGGACCAGCTGCAGCACCAGCTGCTGTTCCAGGTCCCCAATCCCTGGCTGCAGCACCTCCGAGACCCCCGATCCCACCTGCAGCGGCCGTGGTGGCTCCAGGCCTTGGGGCGCTGGCTGCAGCGTCCCCGAGCACCCGGGCTGCAGCGTCCCTGGGCTCATGGCCATCACCTGCAGCGTCCCTGGGCTCCCGGGCTGCAGCGTCCCTGGGCTCCCAGCCATCACCTGCAGCACCCCCAGGTTCCCAGAGGTGACCTGCAGCGTCCCTGAGCCCCCGGGCTGCAGCGGTGCCATGCTACTGGGCTGCTGCGTCCCTGGGCCGCTGGGCTGCAGCTGCAGCGTCTCCAGGTTTTCCGTGGCAGCCACCAACTCTTCTTCTGTCTGCCACGACTCATTTGCCTGCCTGCAGGGAGAGACAGTGGGTCTGGGTCTGGGTCTGGGTCAGGGTCAGGGTACGGGGACACGAGGCTGCGGGCGAGAGGGTCCTCACCTGGAGGACACGCGGATGAGGCGCCGGTTCAGGTACTTCTTCTGCTCCGACAGGTTCCCTGGGGACAGAGGAGAGGTTGGAGGGGGCAACGGGCTCTTCCCCGGCACCGCACCGGGCCGTGCCGCGCCATGCCGTACCCTCCTGCCGCTGGCTGTAGTAGGGCCCAAAGGCCTCGTCGCGGGCGATGTCTGGGTAGAGGAACTGGAGGGGGTTCTCGGGGATGTTCTCCTCCACCAGCAGCTGGTAGTCACGGATAATGTCGGGCAGCGCCAGGGACGCCAGCTCGGCCGGGGGGTAGGGAACCACTGCCCGCCGGAAAGCGGGGGGCCCTGCGGGGCGGGGGGCAGCCAGAATCAGCACCCAGGGCAGGCCTGAGGCCGGGGTGAGGGGCTGGACCCCAGGGCGGGCACACTCACCGCTCTCGGGGTGCTCCACCCAGGTGCAGGTGACCCCCCCCAGCATGCTCTCGCTGAACCGGATCAGGAACGTCCCTGTCCGCTTCCCCTTCAGCAGCTTCTTCTCTTGCTTCCGGCTCACGAAGCCCAGGATGAGCCTGGGGGAGGCACTGTCAGCCCCTGCGGCCCTCGGCCCCCCCG